AAATATCATCTGTTCGCAGTTATTTTATTGATAATTAAAATTAAACGAGCTTGAGTAACTATCTTGTTTCGGTTTACGCACCCGGGCAGTATCTTAACGAGCGCACACACATACAGATCAAGTGACTTGTGTGGTGCATATGTATTCGGTACCCCTTTGTATCACCTCAATCATATCCTGTCATAAATAGTTAATCTATTGTCACTAAATAAAATTTAGTAGCTGGCAATCACAAACTGACTTACATTGAAATTGTATCAGCTGACTTTAACACAGTGATTCTAACGGCCAACCCAAAGAACCGGAATTTCATCACTGGTAGGGTCAAATGAGCACATTGCTAAAGAGTCCTATATTAGGACAAAACAGCTGTCCTGTACTCCTTGGTTTTCAATGTTATTTTAACTGTGACAAACACAACCTAATTTGTTTCCTGAAACTTGGTCCAAATTAATTCCTAAAACCACCAATTAATAACATGCAGCTATTTAATGACTTGATTTTTTTGTCAAAGTGAAATTTAACTGCTACTTTTAGAATATATTATATGGATTAACAATGTCCATATAATACATGTAAACATAGAACAAAACAACTTTTCGATATGCATAAGTTCTATATTCATAAAATACCACTTATTTGCAATAAATTTACTAATATATTACATAAATCTTACTATCATTAAAATTACTTACGAAAACTCATGATTTTGTATTATATGAACTAAAACCGTATGAGCAAAGCTTTATAAAATTTAGAAGCCTTGTAGTTCTAATAGTATCTAAAAACTATTTATAGATTTACGCAACATCTAGGACCAGAACAGCATTCCAAATCACTTATACAAAGTTTATTAGTTTGTATTTCATATTATATTTATAGGTGTACATTGACACTAAAATATGTGCACTATTAAGCAAGAAACAACCTGAATACAGAAAACTATAAAATATATACTAGGGTAAAACGTCTGCTAATCATGCAGACACATATCTTCATTAATTAAGTGCAGAGTACATACCGATTCGCTCAGAGAAATACAGTCGTAATAACATTACAAAGGAGTAAATTTAATAGACAATACAAATGAATCACCTATAAAAGCTAGTGGCCTAAGTAATAACCAAATCTTATTAATTTAGATATCAGTATATTGCTAGTCTTATGGTGACGCAAGAACAAGATAACCGGGAATACCCATAAAAGATTTCTGTTGAATACAAGTTTGATTGAGTTACAAAAATAAGCACTACAAATCGTTGTGATTGTAAACAGGATATTATCCCAAGAAATTAGGTTTAACAGAATATCCTCCTGACGATTTTATGCTGTATGAAAGACTGAATACACTGATCAGTTTATTGGCAACCGACCAGCTCTGTCGAACGAATCTAAAAGATACTGAAAACTCATGTACATTTCATTTACTCTAATCATTTTCATTAATGCACATCGTTATTCCACCTCACCTAATTCTCTTTCTGATTTGCTTCAAATCTAGTGAATTGTAGTGGCCGGAGTGTACTAGACTGGGGAGAACGTTTCAATAAAAAAAATCATCTACCCTGATAAGTCGGTCACTGGTGCACACCTATCTAAATGATATGATACCTCGTTTGGTTTAATATGCATTTTTCATATTCATCTCGCATGAAGCTAGATACATCATGGGACATCCTCGAAACACAAGAAAGCACCTGCCCGATGGGAAGGTATAAAATCGTTTATATTGAAGCATACAGCTGGCCCATGATAATCCAGTAACAGACACTGAGCTCGAGATTATAGATAAACCCAAACAACATCTATCTAAAGGCGTACATATACACACCCCTTTTGTATAGTAGAGGCGTTGTTGAAGCAAGACATCGAACTAGATCTACGCGTTCAAATATAGTTTGTAAGATCACATTCTATGCTATGATCTTGTTTTGCTCTTTATTTCCCCAAGATATTATTTCACAACTTTTTGTTCGTTATTTACAAACCCTTCCAGTTTTGAGTTATATACTATCTTATCCCTAATTTTTTTGTAAATTCAAACACATCAGATTGAGATTTAGTCAATTATCATTTTAGTCAAAACAATCATCCTTATCAATTCTCATTCCCATTTATAACGGCCCTTATTTACCAACCTGTAAGATCACACCAAACCTGAAATGGTGGAAACTATGTCAATATGTCTGACGTAAATTCAACTTATACGGAAGAATTCCACTAACGAGGTCAGAGGTTAACCGAATAAGCCAAATAAAATGAGTGCAAAAACAAACGAGGACAGCAAAACCCACGAAGATGACCAATTACGCACAAGTTCATCAGAACAGACTGATTTAGGAGCGATGGAATAACTGACCTCTATTTATTTATTTATTTGAACACATAAATATTGCTACAGAGGGGCACCAAATATATATGCGCCACACAAAACAATGATAATTTGAAGAGAAAGGGGAAAAAACAGAGAGAGAGAACAATAATGGGGGAAACGGAAAGGTACAATCAGAAGAAGAGGCAACCACTTTTTATGAAGTAAAAGGTTACAGCAGGATCGCCACTGGCTTCTATTCTGAGCCATATCAGATAACGTCTCTAGCCACTGTGTTACACCGTCTCTCGGACCCCAACCAGGGAGTCGTGAAGGACCAACACAAGCCAGCCCTTTGCAGCTTTCTTTCATACCACGACACCATGTCATACACTGACCACCTCTCCGCTTTTTCCAACCAGTCCCAGAGTCGGCAATTAATGCACGACGAGGAATTCTCTGAGACGACATTCGTAGAACATGTCCAAGCCACCAAAGTCGGTGTTTCAAGATGGTGACACCAATTTCATTATCGTCTCTGTGCCTGTGCCCGAACACACGATGCCGAAACTCTGCATTACTGACATGGTGTTGCCACTGGATGCCAGCGATTCTTCGGAGACAACGATGATCAAACACAGAGAGTCGTTTAACATCCTCAACTCGGAGAGGCCAGGTTTCACAAGCATAGAGCAAAACTGCTCTCACCGACGCGTTGTAGATCCGAACTTTTACAGCCAAACTAACATCACGAAGGCGCCAAAGATGGCCTAGATTGGCATAAGCCGCTCTGGCTTTCACTATTCGTGCATTGATCTCATCACTCACGCCACCACCAGCACTTATGCAGCTACCTAGACACACGAACTTCTCGACTACTTCTATCTGCTCACCAGTCAGAGTGAGTACAGGATTAGAATCCTGCCAATCTTGTAGAAGTACTTTGCACTTCGAGGGTGCAAAGCACATACCATACCTAAAGACATTGATTGCCAACTGATTAAGTGCGGATCGCATAGCTTGGGCATTCTCGCACAGTAAGACAATATCATCCGCATACTCAAGGTCGAGAAGTCTTTCTCCAGGCAACAGATCCACACCACCATTACTTACATCCATCAGAGATGTTTCCAGAATGTCATCGATGGCAAAGTTGAAGAGGAATGGTGAGATTGGGCAACCCTGTCTAACCCCACTGCATGAATGGAACAATGAAGAGAGGTGGTTGTATGCCCTCACTTTGCCTGAGATGTTAGTATACAGGGCTTTTAAGATGTTAATAAACTTCTCAGGCACACCCTTCTTCAATAGACAATCCCAGAGAACAGTCCTATCCAACGAATCGAAGGCAGCCCTGATATCAAGAAACACCACGATTGTTGGCCTTTGATCAGTATGGTGGTGTTCTAACATTTGGCGGAGAGTGAAGATATGATCAATACATCCTCGACCGGAACGAAACCCAGCCTGCTCCTCGCGAGTCAATCTTTATCGGGTGTTGAACAACCTACGAAGTATGAAAAAGTCAATAGCTTGGATACAATCGGAAGTAGACTTATCCCCCGATAGTTGTTATAGGAACGACGTGAACCCTTTTTAAAGATAGGGACAACTATCGACTCATTCCATGACGTTGGTACACTCTCTAGTTCCCAGACCTTTGTAAACAACGTGGTCAGTTCCTTAGTCAGAAAGTCACCACCATCTTTAAAAAGAGCCGGAGGTAAGTCATCTGGGCCCGGTGATTGGTAGCGTTTCAAGAGTCGGAGTTCCTTGCGGACTTCCGCCTCATTTGGTGGATCAGTCGTCACCGGACATGGAGGGCAGGACAGTCTGACCGATGTTGCCGGAGCAGCAGGCCAGTTGAACTGCCTTTCGAAGAATTCTGCCCATCGTCCAAAACGTCGATGGATGTTAGTGATTGGCGTTCCGTCATCCTCGCAGATTGTTTCGCTCACACCAGACATCTTGCTGCCAGTGGCTCGGATGAGTTGGAAGAGCTTCCGGTAATTACCAGATGCAGCTGCTGCTTCCAGCTCATTAGCACGCTCCGACCACCAGGCTTCTCGGTCCTTACGCAAGCTTTGCCCGATTTCATTACGTAACATCCTTCCTCTGTGGTCGAACTCACGGTCACCTGGAGTAGACCGACGGGCTTCAATGAGTTGTAAGGAACCAGAAGAAACCCAGTGCTTATAAGCGGGACGTTTCGCGAACCCACAACAGGATACTGGAGCCCATGTGCACCATTGATTTGGGATCCGGTTATAGCGCCGGACATTCGCTTTTCGTCCTCTCATTTTCGTAAACAACACCCCCGCCACGAGAAGGCAGTGAGTAGGACTTCCCTGGAAGAGGCTATATACGCGTGGCCGTGTGGGAGTATTTCGAGAGGGAGGGCGAACCCAACCCACTCTCGGCCATACCAGGGCATTTGGGGGCAACTAACCTCTACACGAAGTAGGGGCTAATGATATTATTCACAAAGGCAATCAAAGCTTCGCAAAAAGGCTATCCAACCCAAAGAACACATCACTCATCTTGATGTATCTCTGACCGCTGATCTCACACATGTCCCATAATTTTTAATCAGCCTAATAATCCAACTATTTTTTGATACGATATTTTTATCTAGTATTATGAACTGTAATCCATGATTTCCAAACATTTTATTTACACATAGTTAAAAGCGAGACCTGTTCGGGACTTCTTATCTCACTGAAATACGATAGTACAGCTTTTAAAAACAACATCATCGAAAATCAAATAGTCTTCTCTGATTAAGACAAATAACAAATAGTACGCACATTCGTTGCATGAAGTATACAAAATGGACACCAATCTACTGGACTGATATGAATGAAATCAATAAACTTCTATTATAAAAAATACATATATTTATACCAACAATGCAAGTAACGCATAAAATACTACTACCCAGTTTTTTGGATTAGAAAACAATGAGTGAAAGAAATTTACACAAACAATGAAGAAGACATCACAGTAAAAATATCAATGTGTGAATACAGAGTAAGCAAAAGATAAAGTTTAATGAAGACAGACTAAGATGAAGTGGGACTGCAATAATCAATCAACAATAAAACATCTCTTTTTCAGCTGGTTTTATCTCAATTCGTTTGGAATTATACGTGATATTACAACTCCGGTCTTGGTGTTCCTGTTAAGTAGCAATGAGGAAAACAACGATAAATTATTTTTGAATAATAATATAACTGTTAATTATTTCTTGTCCGAATATTGCACACTAAAAAAGCTGAAAAACATCGTAGTGTTTCATATTTTACCTATAAACATCCTCTTAGTTATTTGCCATTATAAGTGACATATAAAGAATCGAAGTATACAGTCAAACTATGAATAAACTGAGATCAGGTTATGATCGGCAGCGGGAATCGAATCCAAACAATTCTAACAACTCAAAAAGTGATCCAATACAAAGAATTTTCACCATACAACTTAAGGTGACAAACAGAAAAATCCACAATAATGCCTTACATATTTCTGTAATGTACTATGGCTTGGAATTACTACAATTCGCAAACAAACCACATAATATTGTGCAAAGGTTACAGCCACTGGGAGCACTGGGCGCATCCAACGGAGTCTCATTGTAAGACGAAACATACGTCGTGTTTCCACGTTTCCAATAGTGGTCTAACACAAATCGGTTCATGATTTCAATTAAATATAGTTTTATTGTGAATATAAACACTTAAACATACGCTTAGTATCTTCTGTTGTTTTTGTTGTAGGCTCTTCGTCTGTTTTAACAGTTCCAGAAATAGTTTTATCATCATCACTGGCACTAGTTGGGATTTGACCTTTATCTGGTTGGACAAAACAATGTAAAATAACAATAAAAGTTGATTCCCAATTAAATACACCCAGAAAAACAAATAAGATAAACAGTAGTCTTTTTCGAAAAGGAAAAAATGAAATATTTCTGGTATAAATGTGTTAGAGAGTGTAGAATTTTCGTAGTTTGAAAAATGAACTGATCTTAGCTGGAATATCAGTGGAAACTAGGAAGCACCAATACAACTGTTTCGTCCTATTACGGAACTACACAACAATCCAAATTAACAACTGCAGAGGGAATCACACTACTACCTGGTATCCGATGGTGTACACGACTAACTTCAATCAATCCTAGCTAGGATCAGTTCGTGCAATCTCCAAGATCACTCATATACTAACAATAATCATGTGTTCTCTAGTGGCCAGTTTTAAGATGCAATTCCTGAAGTTCAAGTGGGATGCCGTGACCAGTGGATCTCAACTATATCGGGTGTGAGGTAGTTATCCACTGTAGATGATGAAGGACAGCCACACAGTATCGCCAATTGATTGAAGTTAGACATGTAAACAAACGGATACCAGTTCACTTCAGGAATGACACCAAAAATCCAAGGTCAGATCCTCTCTGTAGTCGTGAATAGCAACTACAGAGGGATTTCATACTAAAACAAACCAACTATCCAGTGTTTCTTGGTTTTCAGCGGTGATCTAACTAGGATCAGTTTGTGATTAAAGCTATCAAGAGAAAATATTTTTTGTCGAGAAAGACGTTGCATAAAAGCCACTTCATGTTTATTTCCTCAAAAAAGGTAGATTTAACAGAACTATGATCGACACTTCTAAGATTACGTCACAAATTTAATAATCTAATCTTTATTCCCTTTTTAGGTACCCGCACAGCACATCTCATCTATTGTTTAATGTTGACTGTATAAATAAGAGCATGAATAAATCGTTGCAGAATAAGAAAGATAAAAAGTATGGCGAGAAACAAACTTTGTCCACAAAAACAACTACAAACCTTTTAGTGGATCTGCAGTATTCATTTTGCTTTGCTCAGCAAACATACGAGCAATTTCTGATCTCCATAAATTCATTTTAGTGGTATGATAGCTGATTTCTCGGGACAATTCACTTTCTTTACTTCGAATAGTAGAAACCAAAATCGGAGGATCTTCGTATGTCGGAGATTTGTTTAAAACTTCGGTCGATTCAGCTAACCAAGCCTGAAAGTAATTTGTATGTATATATACATAAAACCTAGTGTATGAAGTATACGATATAATGGTAAAGAATAACTGAAACTAGTTCGCACTTTACCTCACTATTTTTTGTCGACAAAAAAACGATAACTTTTATTGTATCAAGCAAGCAGTGAAAAGCGCCATTCACATTCAACCAATGATTATATAAAACCTAATATCGATATAATCACCCTAGCTGATTCCACAGGATGACCATCGATGAAATACGTATTCTCACTAACTTCGGTATACTCTTGCGACCTGTTACATTGTTACAAAGTAGAAATAAAAATATATTCATTATTAACTCTCTACCCAATACTCAATTTATTTGAAACTATCAAGTCCAACCTTGGTATAGATATCTATAGAAATAAAAAGTTGGAAACAAATAGTTTCGCGAATATGTATACTTCATGCATGTGATTTATGGTCTTTGACTGTTAATAGCCAAAGCATATATGAAAGTAGGCGGAGTAAAACAAACAAACGAACATAAACAAGCGCAAATCCGTAGAAAATGTACATGGATAAAATTATGTGTGAATGCAAACAGTTTTTAACCAATAAAGTTACAATTACATATCCAATGGTTCGTACAGTGGTTAATATCAATCTATCATTCCAATTAATCATATGACTGGAAATCTCATTGTTATGTTCCAATTATATATGGGGATTCCCCATAAATGACACAATAACATAGTTCTTTACTCAACATACATTCATTCGTATGAACACTGTACACTGTAATAGACATAAAACAACTAGTCAACGTTACCTTTGATTCACCTAGTTTATTTCTTAGTGTATCAATTTCAACTTCAGTGAAGATATTTTTCCATGGTGATGATTCTTCTGAAGTTTGTTCAGAGCTATTATTTGATGCACTCTGATTTTGTTGTTGTTCAGGTGAAGTGGTTCTAAATGTTTGCGAAAACAGTTTTGATAATTCAACCATTTCATTTAATGTTTTTTGGGCTAATTCGATTGTTTTATTAAACGATAGTATTGCTTTCGCACGATGTTTAATCTCAGTAGATCTTTTTTCAATGGGAATAATTAACGATTGGATTTCTTTTATTCTGATATCATAATCCTAAAAAATAATTGAAAAGTTATACTGATTACGTATTTCATTATTTGAGTATTTTTTTCTTAAAATATCCAAACAGTCTATATTCGTAACACCGGATAAACTGACATGATAATATGATGACAAAGTAAAAATAGAGAACATGTACAGATGCAGAATGATGATTGAACGAGCATGATAAATAAACAACTATGTAGTCAAGATCAATGTTGATTATACACTATTTGTTTCGATATTTTAATAAACAGTACAGAAAATTTGAAACATGGTTATTTGGCAGTACAGATTAATGGGACTTTTTACTAATTATTTACTAAATTTTAAATAAGCAGTGATGACAATCGACAACCTATTGACATCGTGCTGACTGTAATTATTAAGAGCTCTGAAATTGATCCTGCATAGGGTCGCAGAAGCAGAGTGTTGAGGACACACAGACCAAATATTTATTTGAGGTCAATGTCACTTAGCGACGGCGATATGTACCATCAACTCCCCACTGCTGAAAATAGTTGAGGTACAGGGTTTTAATGGATGCAAACAGCCATAGCTTTTTTGGTACCAAGTTTATTCGAGAGTAAGATACAAGTACATATTAATATGCTACACTTATCCATGAACAACAAATTCACATGAATTTATAAAGTTAACAGAGCAAATCATTAATGTTTATGCTTCTGTATAAGTATACTGTGAAACTATTGGTTGTAAGAGATTCACACAATTATGTACGAAGAAACTATCTAATCATGTGAATAGAATTAGATAAGAAAGTGAACAGGAAATCCTTTCAGTTGAAAGTTGATTGCCTAAACAGATTTATAGAGACTTTTTGTGAAAATTATATTGCAAATGAGTGATTGAAATCTCAATAATTCCAATATATTATATAACAGTTTTGCCTGGACTTCTTCAGGGTAATAGTTGAAATTAAAACTCTTAGTAATTAAATCTACACTAATAATAAGATTCAGATTATTTGCTCAATCTTTGTTTGTTCATTTTAACAGTTCCTATCTCATGAATGTGAAACATGTTAAGTTGTCACATGCTGATTACAACAAAAACTACACTTAACCCCCTAAATGCCCTGGTACGGTTGAGAGTGGAGAGAGTCCGCTCCCCCTCTCGAAAGGCTCTCACATGACCACGCGTATATAGCCTTTGCCAGGGAAGTCCTACTCACTGCCTTCTCGTGGCAGGGGTGTTGTTTACGAAATTGAGAGGACGAAAAGCGAATATCAGGCGCTTTAACCGGGTTGGTGGAGATGGATAGTTCACCTAGGGGAGTTGGAAAACCCTGATTCCAAACCAATGGTGCACATGGGCTCCAGTATCCTGAAGGAACAAATAGCGTATGAACCTATCGTTGGTCACCGACTACCATGGGACTGCATCTTCTTACGATGCTCCACTGCCTTGTGGATCAGACCTTCGGGTCGAGGGCTCCGGGTGTGGCCCTCTAAGAAAACCACCTGCTTCGGTTTGAGCACCCGGGCAGTATCACAGCCCTCACACAAATCAAATGAGATTTGTGTGGCGCATATATATTTGGTGTCTCCTTGTACCAATATCTATGTGTTAAAATAAATAAATAAAAGAGGATTTTAGAAAGTATGAAAATCTCAGTCAGTACAATGTGAATAAAGTGAAAAGGAATGAGTACGTGTATGTGTATGTGTACTCCCATATTATTAATAGGTACCAATTAGTAAATGAATCCAGTATCTGTCAACTACCGACGACATAACGATCATATTGTTTATCAAAAGAGAATTTATACATGTTATTTTTAAGACTAATTAAAAATACCTTTAAAATAATAATACCATATAAACTACAGTTCCGTACTCTAAAACACAAACACCATCAACTCGTCGAATTATTCCTTTTTAGTTTGACAAATTAAAAAATCTTTTTAGAATGATCAAAGAGAGTGGATTCATTCAATTAATCAACGGTATAGATATATATTATTTGATTAATAATTTACTACACGAAATCTTCATTTAACAAAGTTAAAGTCAACAGGATTACATAAATATGAGACTAAATGATTGTTTAATATCTTGACTTATGTGATAATCTTTTACAGTCTGTGACATCAAGGGAAGTATAAATGATGATAAACTCACACTCTTTAAACCATTATGACCTTGTTCATCAAACCAACTAGATGCAATTTGTAATACATTATCCAACTGTTTAAGTTCCTCTTCAGTACCATATTTCTTATAATCAGTTGAAATCATATCATTTGTATTGAGCAATAAGGTTTCAAGTAGATTAATAGAGTGGTCTAAAGCAACTTTCTCTTTATCTGCTTCGCGTAACTTCTCCAATCTTAGTACAACAAAAAACATAGATCAGTAGACTATGAAAAACAGAAGATATAAATTCATAACATATAATAAAAAGATTACTTTTAAAGGAATGACTGCTAAAAACGCATGATTTATTAATATGTGGAAATTTTGACGTCAGATTACATTCATACGCTTAATCAATCTATGAAACATCCCCATCGTAATAAACCACGCTCTTCTACAGAAGACAGTAAGGAAATTACGCTCATACTCTCAAAATATTATACGATAGAGTGGTAATAATTTATCTTGTCTTCGTGGCGCAGACATGCACATAAATAAAATGAAGTCGGACGTTAAAAGCCTAGAACTAATCAACGGATATTCATAAGGCCGTCTATGATATTTGGAAAAGCATGAGTACAACTAGAATGCATCTAATGAAGTTGTTCCGTTCCAATATTAATTAGTGTTGTATCAACTTTATTATATAAGATTTGGCAATAGTCTCTAAAGTATAAGGGTTGAGTAATTCAATAAAATGAAGAAAAAATTATTAAAATAATTACTTAATATAATTACCTTTAAAAACAGGTTATTTTACGACTAACTTACTTAGATTGTGACACAATCGATTCTTCAGCAGTCAAGTCAGGAAAATCTAAATAAACAACTTCATAGTCGATAGGTTCAAAAAATGGTCCTGTAGACTTCGAAAGGTAAAAGTGAAATGTACAAATCATTAAAATAGTATGTCATAAACGTACAACAGATATACACATTAAGCATAAATGAAGAATCAAACTCTAACTACATAAGTAGTATGCATGCATGATTCGATGAAAACATAAAGCAAAATTAATTATAGCAAACAAGAGCTATGGTCAAAATCTTTGAAATAAAGGATACATAATAAGATTTTACTATTCAATAGAAGCAAATATACGCAAATTAGAATGGGATTCAAATAAACTACCTTTACATCTACTGTTAATTGATCTTTTCCAGGTGTGTTATCGTCATTAACAGAAATAGTTCGGTTGTTTAAAATGGTCTGCAACAGTTAAAGAAACTCAATAGCTGTAATTGTATTCAAATCGAATAGAAATAATAGATTTTCTATGACAAGTTAAAGAAATGACGTCATAATATAGCCATTGGACATACAACAAAAAGATAGTTGTGATGAATTTCAGTTGGGCGGTTTGTAAAAAATAATTAGTGATGAAGTAAATTAGACACACTAGTATAATTTTAAAAATCGGAATAAAGAAATTATATCGCATTATACCAGTCAGTTAGTCAAATGAGAAGTAAAACGTGGTACGTGCGTACAACGGTTCAAATCGCCATATCCAATTGCATGGCGAATCCCAGCGTAGTAGAAGTGGTGACATTATTAGTGGTAATAGAAAAGATCAGGCATCGAAGATACGATTTAAGGGAATATAAATTAGTCAAATAAAAGAAAGTATGAGGAATTCAGAAGCTTAGAATTTGGAGGTAGACAAGGAGTTCATTAGATATATATGTATACTGATGACAGCACTGGCAACAAGAGAGCGAGTTGAAGGTTTAATATCTAAATCATGTTGAAATGAATAGATAAACTTGTTAGTCATTGTGAAAGATGTTTCGATTTTCGAATAGAATCATTTCAATCGAATTACTTCAAAATTTTAGTGAAGTTAAACAGCCCAAAGAAAAGTGAAGTGAAACTCGAACTCGCAAATTAGTGACTGAAAGCTGAGTGTCCTAATCACTGAGCGACCGCTCTATTGATTTCTTAACATAATGTACAATAGTAGCTTATAAAAGTAACACAACAGGATGAATTACAGTAAATTAAAAAACAGGGGAAATAACTTTAAAATTTACAGGGAGTATATTTACTGTTGGGTAAGATCATGTAGGATCATTAAAAAGTGTTTGTTACCTCAGACAACATTTCTTCACGATCCATATAAAATTATTACGCAAAAGGATAACCCTTAATATATCATTTTAGAAAAAATTATTAATAAAACACCACAAAATCTAATCTTAATTATTAAGAAATAATAGTAAACTTACAGAATTTTTAGTAATATTCGCTGGATTGACATGAGTCAAATTAACGCCACCATCGCCTGTTGTGTTAACAGCAGTATCCTGTTCAGGTACATTTTTATCAACATTTGTACTATCACCTCCACCAAATAGTCCACTTAAAGTACTACCGATTTCTATAAGCGAAAAAAAATTAAACTCAAATGTTTCACAAGTATCTACAGATCATTTATACATATAAATTAACGTGATCAAAAGAAAAATATCTCTTTTGCCAAAACACAGAATAATAAAAGAAATTATGATAGCTAAAGTTGACAAGCAAACTATCTTTTCTATAAGCCTACTGAGACATTATTATACTTAAACCGAGAGGTTACAATGTTAGTAATTCTAATACGTAAACACTAAACACAATACTATAAGAAACCATTATGGAGTAATTTTGTAAAATATGATGAGATATTGCAGTGATCAACCAATTCAGTAGCCCTGATAACGAAATCAGTGAAATGTTACTGAATGCAATCTGTTTGGATATGAGACAAACTAGATAACACATATAATTGTTTTCACATTTAACCATTACCAGTAGAATTGAATAGAACTGTGAGAAAAAAAAGTACGTTGGCACCTACTAACTTAAAGTGAATATGCCAACGACAGACCACAAAATATTTACCAACTTACTTTCAAAAGTAGATTTCGCCTTATTTGAATCATCAGATATCCCATTTTCTTCAATAGGATGAAATATACAACTTACACCACTAAGAACAAGAATTCCATTGTGATCCATAATGAAATGTGCTTTGACACCTCGAGGCTCAGCAAACGAATAGTGTTTAGCTGATTTTGATACATTTCTCGTAGTGATATGACTAAGATTGTAGTTTGGACCTTGGAAACTAAAGATTACATGGACAATTAGAAATAATGTTAAAGTATTGGCGATGACAGTAATTAATATGAGAGTATATAAGGTGGCAATATGTTCAACAGATACACAAACTATTTCAATTTGGTAAAATTGATAAAGCACCTGGGACAGACAGTTGGATTCTTTAGAACAGAAAAGAGGAAATTTAAGCTAACGATACAAACATCTATCAAATAGATTTAACTGCTCTTACCATGAACAAATGAGTATTTTAAGGAATAATCAATTCATTATGATATAAATTACCGTTGATCGTTTATTTTAGGAAGCCTTTATTTTCAAACAATCAATGAGCAAATGGTATAAATATATTTGGGCAACATATCCAATAGTTCTTGGATTCAAAGAAATGCTTATTAAATAAGCTATAGTTTAACAAATATGGTCCTGATTAATTGTTTTATATTACTCTAAATAGGAGTATCGACATACAAATCTAACGATCTGACATTTATAGAACAGATATATTTTTATTGGTTCTCGTTAGACTGATGAGATTTACGTTACTGGATATATCCGATCGAACTGGGAGTGAATAGCTTTTATAACCCACTTTTTTGAACATCATATAAGCTGTCATAATGAAAATCGCTAGATTGTTGGACAATATAATGACTAAGCTTTTTAAACCAAATAGTTTAAGTTGTCACAAAAAGGAAAACGATAAGTGATGGTGAAGAAATGTGATTATAGTTAAACAATGGATGTTACAAGTAGAGATCTCTTACAGTCTGTTTAAGAACAAATAACCTCAAGTGTAGACCGATCGAGAAATGTTTAATTTTCACAACAGAAAGAAATGCAACTTGTTTTGGCTTCCAAACACTGACTACTTTGAATTATTATCCCTTCTATGGCTTCCATTTATCTTGTCACATATTCAGAGCGGTGGATCAAAACTGAAATGTTTCTGACCGAATAATGTAAGCATAATTTAACTGATGACATAAAAAGTACTAGGTAAGTATGATAAATCTGACAACGAAGTTATGGACTATAGTTACTTCAACCGTTAGGCTATTTGGGTTTGCCTCGCGCATAAAAAACGATAGTATGAAGTGGTAAACTTCAGAAAAATAATTAACTACTTGTAAGTAATCCTCGTAAATATTTTAAATTAAAATAACGGAACAATATTTACCGAGCAGCATATCCATCAAGATCGACATAATTAACATAGAAGTCCAAGTCAGTAATATGCCGATTGAATTTGATAGCACGTTTTTGAGGGAAAATAGCTCCACGGGGAAAAAGAACTTGTCGAACATAAGATCCATCCTGTTGATCTTCGATATGTAAATCATTGTCTGACTTATGGCTTGGTAACGGTGGAGCACGCATAAAATCAACCTGTAACATTTATTTAAAATATATATATATATATATATATATATATATATATATATATATATGCACAAGATTCAGATGCTAACCTTTAAAATACAGAACAGCAGGAGAAAATGATTTAAACTAATGAAACAACGATACTTAACAATGGAAAACGGAGTAAAATAATTCAAAGAAACGTTAAGTATTTAGGGATTTATTTAATTTCATCTCCGTTATTTGGAAAATTCAAACGGCAGTTTTAACATAACTGAACCTTTGTAAATTATACCGTGACACCTAGATGATTAGAAATATGTGACATGGGACTATTGACTGTGGCACCATACTAAATTCTCAATTTTCCATGTTTGTACATTTTAAATAAATTTTAGAATATCAGTGTTGCCAAGCGATCGAAAATCTGAAAATTAGTCCAGTTCGAATTATTCCAGTCCCACAAGCGAACTACTTACAACAGGCTGTGACTATCATTCCAGAATTCTTACAAATACACGATAAGTTAGATTCTTAGTTTTAACAAACCTTAACAACAGGGATAGCCGTGTTAAATGTGAGGATAAATAAAAAACCTTCGTTAACAATTTATCAGAAACTTACAGCAATAGGATAAAGATTATAATCTTTAACAATGAAACGAGTAACACGAAACCCCGGAGTATGAAATGCAGCTTGATACACGGCACCTAATGCGGCAGCATCATCACTATTAACACCTCTGTGTAATTCTGACCTAGGTAAAAATAGTACAAAATTACAATAGATTGAGTTTATGATTAAAAAAGTGGTTGAAACAATCTTTACAGTATGTTGCATTCCTCAAGATTTGATGATCCTGGATTTGTTACCTCAGGGTTCCATAGATTTTCATTCTTTGAGAAGTCCCGAACTAGAATGAAACAGCTGCTTAATCCGCATTAGTTTTCAATAGCTCTTCAGTTAATTGCAGTTAATTATGCGAACTAACTTCAAAATATACGATGACTAGAGCTTTATAACGTTTATTAGACATTACGTGATATTATAATGCTAATCATATACTTCGAAAAATTACTATTTTAAATACGTAAGTTCATCAATAAATAACACGGGAAATATGATCCTAACAAAGTGAATATTTTAGTGGATAAAAATGGGATCAATATCAACAGTAGCCATGATCAGGAATCCATCAACGGACTTTGTGTAGTGTTATGATGTTCAAATTCTATAATTTGTTCGTTGTAGTATGCAACCAATTTTTTGTTTACAAAGTTTATTGTCAATAACAAGTCTTTCAATAACAATCAACTACAACTCATTGCATGAGATTCAAAACAAAAAAATCGGTTTCCTTTTTTTTTAAAAATGGTTTGAATATTGATTACACCAGACAAATGTTGGACAGCTGGATGACATGAAATACTCTCGAGTTAACGAAAGTATTGTACATTCAGAATAATAGTACATATGTATGTACGAGTAAATATTGTGCAGTACCAAAAACAGACTAAAATACTAAGGAGTCTATCACATCACCCAAAATTTGTAACTGTCAGTCGTATCCATCACGAAGCGGCTTACTCAAAACTCTCATCACTTTAATTCAATCCAACGTTGATGTGGCCTGACTTTATATAACCACCAATCAATGAAACTGTACTCCTATAAGTATCGACGTTATTCATTTTATTGTACTTCCCATTACTACTCGATATGATTCACTTTTTTTTAACTGATTAATATTTATTCCATACTGATAGTAATAAGTTACGTTTTAGAAACATAATGTGTCCTACAGTTTGTGACTACAATTACACTAAGACTTTGAAAAGACTACATTATGAATCGTGCTTGAAAAAAGATACTTATAAGCAAAATAAATCCAAAAGTAATTTGATAGTAAAATAAACGAAACGGGTCATAAAAATAACTAAATGTGGATCTGCTGAAAACAAAAATGAGAATTGTCTTACTAGATAGTTTGGGCTAGAAGCTAGGAGAAAATAACTTACTTTTGACTATGCTCGATTAGAACAGATTGAATTTTCGGGATTCGTGTACCTCCACCCATTAAAATAACCTCTTTTAATGAGTTCATTGGAAAATCGACCATGATATCGAAAAATGGTCGTTTAACTCTCTCGAACAGATCAGAGCAAAATGTTTCCATCTCAGCACGAGTAATTTTAACATTAAGATCTTCTTCATTAAACAAATTTTCAACCTTATATGTTGCAAAAAGAAAAAAATTGCAGAAAACTTGTTTGACTGTGTTTATGTACTCCTTCGAACTAAACATTATAGTAAGTTTCTGAATAAGGCGAACGTTATTTCCGTAGTAAACTGTACAATTCTAAATTACATAAAACAATTGTGTGAATATGTATTTCAAATAATTTTCAATGCCTATCATCAGTGTATTTTCGCATAGATTATAACCCATATGCAGCATATTAACGTTATTGAATTACTTCTTTGTCAACTAGTAAGAAACAACCACATAACTTTGCTTACTACTATCGACGAATATTCATATACCTACTAATTTATTAATTATATTTTAAGTCCTATATTAACTGATAAGCTTCTATTTATATGACCAGACTAATTTATGGATGAACCAATCAGATATAAGATAACGCTAAATGGTTTTGGCATTTTAGCTTATGTCAGTTCGTGATGGGAATCCTAAAGTTAGTTCCTAACCCTGACTATCAACCGTAAATCACAATTCTAACTCCTCACATTGCTTTATAACCCTCATTCTGAAGGTTACTTTAGCATCACTCAAAGGTCGTCCATAAATTAAAGTCTCATTATTTGTATTATAAAAATACAAAACCAAAGCAAATTACATACAGACACTTGCTTCGTTGAGCAAAACTAAAGGATCGATTGTATAAATACGAATAAAATATATAAATAACACATCGCTCGAAAAACGTTTACAATTACCTGGGCGAATATTTCGGAATTTGCACTAAGTTTGGTAAGCACATTTGAGGCCTCTAAAGCCAGTTTAGACATGGCTCGATGACTTTTTTTTACTAGATCTTTATCTAATTTCTTCATTTCACAGAATTTTTCCAATAACTGATCTCTTATTCGATAAATGAAAGCCTGTGTACCGAATGTTGGATCATGACTAAAAATAAAACATTACAAAGTTGTAAATGTAAATCTGTACTGGTTTACCGATGCATATATTCCTTAGAATTCTAAATTTCTATTTTTTAAATACTCTCTCGACTTTAATGACTTTCAGACGACACAGTTTTAAGGAATTTGATATGACAGCGGTGAGCTTCTCTGTTGTTACATGATATATTTGGGGTGATAGAACTTTCGAGTGGTTAACATGGAGTGCTTAAGGGAAAATACATCAAAACTGTATGCTTTTAAAACAATAAACGTTTCCGAGAAATTATCGTTACATTTCCTAAATAAGTGCCATCAATGAAATCAAGCTAACAATAGGATCTGTAGAGTAAAATCAACGAAAAACATGGTAATCTTTTAAACGACTGTAACGCATGATTTAGAATAACTGAATGTATGAATGTTTTACCACATCAACCTAGTGAAAAATTTAACTAGACTCTTATTTAAGTCCGTTACTATAGTGAGCTACACCAAACATCGCTCACGTAAGTTGTTATTCATCTTATGTTTAGTCAATCTGTCACAGGATTCTCCATGATCTAACTTTTTTATCGCCTCACTCAACAATTGATCGCTTACCTGTAGACTCTCAATCTAGGAGCAAGTAGACATCCTTAACTAGAAGGTTTAGCTGCGTAGGGTGTTGCAAGCATTCGAAGCTGGCTAACTCAAGTGACACGGCTTACAATACAATAATTATTGTATGAACAAAAGTAAAGTATTTGGGTTGTATTATAATCTTATTGCCACCTACCTGACATTTACAATTCTCAACATCGGGAAATCTCCCACAACATCTCCATCTCTGTGTTTCCCATATGAATATGCTATGGAACAAAACCACGAGAAATAATCAGATTTTCTCAAAGAAAAAAATAATGGACAACTTTAAGACTGAGAGAACAGATAGAAATAGCTTATGCCTGAACACCGATTACCATGACGCGCAATACTGTCTAATATGGGAGATGGTTGGAAGAAAGTTAAGGGTGGTCAAACAAAACATGGCATCAGTCCTTGAAGTCACTAACTTCTGGTCTGAGCAATGTTGATAGACGTAGACTACTTGGTTGGGGTACGCGTGACTGTCGTAACCAATGGTTGGAGACCCTGGGTGACATGATTCAGAATTGATCACAATGGCGTCAGTGTATACACTCTTCATTTTCCCTTAAACGGTGAGATTAAAATTGCTTTATACCTTTCCTTCTACGAACTAATTCTTCCTCCCTGTATTATATCCTTATATACAATCTTTTATATATTAATACCATTGAAGTGACTATTTCTATGAATTTGGTGTTCATCTTGTTGTGTTAATGAGGTGTGGCAACTTGGACCGATGCACATATGTGCCTGGTCCTTTGTTTGTAGCTGAGTGACTGTCTGAGTATAGCAGCTCTCCTACAATAAATTTCGATTATGGTTAACCCCTTTTATTATCTTACTTAATGTTACTAGAACAGTAACAATTCGTTCATTTTTTTTGCACTATTATGATCACATGCTACAGCCTACGTACATATCCTTCTAACCAAAACCTTAATCACTTAGGTAACACTCGACAAATCATTCTCTTCTCCATGTATATATGCACTCGAATCCCATTATTAGCCTTTACCTTGCCTAGCTAGTTGCTCCTCGATTCGATTTGACTATAAATTCGCCTCTGTATTCGCTCGCTCACACGCATTCGCCTGCTTCATATTCGCTCGGTGTGCTTATAACTTTTTTATCCGTGCTATCCGCTAATAAACTGTAGACGCCGCTTCTTGCCTTCTGATTTCAAATACCGTTGGGATTTATACAGTAACGGTGATCGAGGTGATTGATTAACAAAGCTAAACCACTACAAGTCTTCACCACCTTACGTAATTCATATCCACAATCAATAACGTCATAAATTGGGACTTTGTGGTCTGAACAATGTTTTTCAAACCTTATTCTACCGTCAGTACATTGCGACAACCTGAGGAACAAAATATAAGAATAAATTGAGAGAAAACTGACAAAAAACAACGTCTGAGTTGAGAAACTCTAAAGATTGTACAGCTACGACTAATTTAATGCTACATATGAACTAAATTGTTCACAATTAAACGATGCAGTCTGAGACGGCAGACTACAGTTATTTAATATAATTAGTAGATACATACATACGTTTTAAACTAAACCGATGAGGCTAATAACAGCATTGTTTCGTTTCAAGTTAAATCAAACGACGATATTAGTTTCGAGACTCTTATAGTATCCAGACATGATAACGTAAATAGCAATGGAGTGCTAAACAAACCACATCCTCTAAACATCAGTAATAGATCCCAGAAGTTAAAACTAATAATTTTAACTGACCTGCTAAGGTTGCGGTTGTGCTCATTGAACCAATATCAAAAAACACGTAATATTGAGGTGTTTCGTTGAAACTTCTAAAACGGAGCAAACCGAAATTCAGAGCCACTGCAGAATTATCGTTAATTATTTGAAGAACATTTAAGCCTGCTATTTCAGACACTCGTATCAAGCGACGCCTTTCAGCCTGACCAAAATGGCTAGGTACAGTCAATACACAAGTCTTGATAATAGAACCTGGAAAAAAGTAATTATGAAAACCATTTGATATTACAACTGATATCCAACTCATCAACTTGGTTATTTATTTATATGTGCCACACAAAATGAAATTGTGATATTTGGAGGATATTCGAAGTAGTAAAAACCAAAATGCAGAACGTTTTAAAGGATAAACTTCAAATAACATCTCCTGAAGTTTATCTTACTAAAACTGCAGAAGACCATATAAAACTATACCACCATTGCTACTGGTTTCTATTTTGAGCTTAACTCGGTAACATACTAACTTTGAAAGGTTATATTATCTTAAAGCCATCACCGAGGTCTCTAGTGAACGACAAGATGATGAAGCGGCACAACTACAATGCATTCCAAGATGTTACCACAAAATGACCAAATTTCCGTTCTTTAGTACATTTTTATCACCAAATAGTGCCAAGTTCGGCGGATAGTAAGGATAGTTCTTTAAGACTATGGCATCCATAAAATTATACTTTTCCCCATAACCCAAACATGTGTTCTCAATCCTTGAGTTTATTTATGCGATTTTGCTGCCATATGCGAGCACTTAATCAGAGACGATAATTCAAAGTACAGGGATTTACAAAATAACAGCATGGAACGGTTATATTTTACCAACACGCGGCAGAACTTTTACCGCTGCAGTTCTCTTCACACGACCAGTTGTGACCAAGTCTAGTCTAACTTGTAACAGAAAGCTTTAGTTTTGGTCTGATGTAGATTTGTTTAAGCTTCTATATCCCCCCCAATCAAATGAGCACACAATTAAGAGAACTGCTTTGTGCCCATTCTTATAATTACGAAATAGCTTCGTGAACTCTTGATAATACTAAATTTTCTATAAGGCATTTATCGTTTTTGAAGACAAACTACCGATCGTCGCTCAGATCTTATTGTCATCTCCAACTGGTATGCAATTTTTTCCTAAGCTAGATCATATTTGGTCTAAATGTACAGATACTTTGTTCCTTTCATACGTCCAAAAGACCAGAGAAATGTCCACACTAAGTCCACAAGAGTACTTATTTATTTCTCTGGATATAACTCTATAATTATAAGGCAAAAAGTGCCGCAATTGAAATTTATGAGTGGCAGTGAGATGATAAATAAAGATTGATGATAATCTCGAAAACTAAAGGAAAGCATACCAGTATAGAGTTCAGCGTAATTATGGGCATATTCCAAAAGCATAGCGACCAGTTCATCAACCGAAAACACCACACCATCTTTTCGAGTGAAAAACAGTTGTCCAGATGTGGCATCATAAGACAAATTGTGGTAAGGATAACGTTCCTGAAAAAGTTTCACCATTGGATGATCTATAGACTTCCCAAGAAGAGACGGAATGGACTGGAATACGTATTCAGGATTTTTCGAAGCCTACAAAAGACCAATATTGACATAACACATTAAAACGACTTTCTAATATATGGGTTTTGCTTTACTAACAATTACAATAGCATATGTGTGTTAAGTTTGCTTACATTGTTCCTACTCGTTTCCTTTCTACTCTTTTGTATATTGTTTTGTACTACTTATTTACATTCAGTAAGCAATTGTATTTCCAACAATTTGCACCTATGTTGTAACGCAAGTCGTATTGTATTATTCTGAATTATTCACATATATTTATGACGTTTATTGTACTTATCATTGTATTTATCATTATAATTACTGTACCTTATTCACTGTAACGTTTAACCACAGTTTCGTGCATTTGTTTAAACGCAACAGTTTCCATATTGTTTTGCTCTTGGTTCGGGTTTCGGTTGTTCATAAACTGCTATCAAATTTAGACACAGCTGTCAGCTGTCCTTTGTACTATCGTATGTTATAATTATTCTTTATGTTACTGTTACAGGAAGCCTTTTATCTTTATACTTGAAGGACGCGTTTAAACACCACAGACACCTCACAAGTTGAGGTATGTAACTAAAATTTGTGTATTATTCAATAAAGAACCGCTATTATAGACAAATCGTTGTTTTGGAACATCGGTTTCGCGCGTATCTCAATCAGGTCAAGTAGACGCTTCGATAAAAGTAACAATGTGTGACCTAAAATGAATGGATGAATTAATCACCCGAAACAAGTCTTGAAAATATACGTATAAGCACATGATCTAAAACAAACTGTAAACCTGAGAAATATTATAAAGCAACAGACATTTCGAAGTTAATCGTATACTAAACAACCTTACTGATACGAGAAGACCATTTGTAGTGACACTTAACACACTTTTGATGTACAAAAGGCACTGAAATCGAGAAAAACCTAACCACATATATTATCAGTTCGGTTCTTAAAACTAGCGAAGATTGTATATGATTAGGCTTGCATTCTGATAGAAAAGTAACCATGGGATAATACTAATTACATACTTATTCACACCTGTTACCCCTCGTGAAGGAGAATAGGCCGACCACCAGCACTCTCGGTCATCCTCTTCTCCGTTTTCCTTCAGGATTCCAAGTTAGTGCTTGCTTTGTGATTCAGTTTGATTGTTTCCCCAATGTATGTCCTATCCACTTCCAGTGTCTTTAACTAATTTCCTCCTCAGCCAGAAGTTAGCTTGTTGCTGATGGTATCTGGTCAACGGACATTGAGTATCATATGTAGACAATTGTTTATAAATACTTGTACCTTTTAGATGATGATTGTACTAGTTGTGCAAGTTTCAACTCCATACAACAGAACTGCTTTGACGTTTGTATCAGTCAATCAGTCAACTACAAACATAGGACCAGGCACATATGTGCATCGGTCCAAGTTGCCACACCTCATTAACACAACAAGATGAACACCAAATTCATAGAAATAGTCACTTCAATGGTATTAATATATAAAAGATTGTATATAAGGATATAATACAGGGAGGAAGAATTAGTTCGTAGAAGGAAAGGTATAAAGCAATTTTAATCTCACCGTTTAAGGGAAAATGAAGAGTGTATACACTGACGCCATTGTGATCAATTCTGAATCATGTCACCCAGGGTCTCCAACCATTGGTTACGACAGTCACGCGTACCCCAACCAAGTAGTCTACGTCTATCAACATTGCTCAGACCAGAAGTTAGTGACTTCAAGGACTGATGCCATGTTTTGTTTGACCACCCTTAACTTTCTTCCAACCATCTCTCATATTAGACAGTATTGCGCGTCATGGTAATCGGTGTCAGTCAGTCAGTCAGTAACAACGTGGAACTTCGTACGTACGTACATCAGTTCGAGTTGCCATAACACATTAGCACAGAGATTCAGTTATCGATTCAAATCCCGTAGTGGTAGAGGTAGTGAAAGTATAACTGGTGATAGGGAACACTAGGGTTTGATGTTATTTAAGGAGTATTATCCAGTGGAATAAATTTGGTTAGAAAATAAAGGACATGAAGAATTCAGAAGACTAGAATTTGGGAGAACACAAAGAGTGAATGCACCTGCACCATTACAAACGAGTTTGAGCCATAACATTCAAGGTCTCTAACCATCGGTTGCTATCGTCTCACGGATCCCAACCAGGTAGTCTACACCTACCAACATGGCTCAGTCCACTTGTCAGTGATTTCATGGATTTGTGCCATGTTATGGTCTGACCGCCCCTAGCTTTCTTCCAACCTATTCCTACACCATAAAACATCGCACGTCGTGGCAGTCGGTGGTCTGGCATGCGCAACACATGTCCCAGCCATCTCAACTGATTAAGTTTCACTACTTCATCAACTGATTTGCCATCCTTAACTAGTACCCGTTTCCTAACAACTGAGTTGCTTACTCGGTGGTCCCAGGATATACGAGCAATGTTTCGAAGACATCTATGGTCGAATACTAGTAACCTACGATTATCCTCTACTCTTACTGGCCATGTTTCACTGCCATAAAGTAGGATGGAACGGACTGCTGTGCAGTAAACACGTCCTTTGGTTGATAGACGGATATCTCGCCTACGCCACAAATGACGCAAGTTGGCAAAAGCTAGTCGAGCCTTCTGTATCCGTGCTGAGATTTCGTCACAAACCAGACCACAAGGGCTAATGAGACTTCCGAGATAAGTGAAGCGGTCGACACGCTGAACTACTTCACTCCCTATCACTAATTCGGGTGTCGATGCAACCCAATCATGAAGCAATATTTTGCATTTCGAGGCATACGTAGCACATGGCCCAACCATCTTAGTCGATGAAGATTTACAACGACGTTCGTATTGAAGATTGTGACTATTGGTTTGAAAACAGTTGTTTTGAGTTCCATATGATCTCTGGTTGCAGGAATACTGCTGTTTCTTTGCTAATCCTTTCTTGTTCATCGATGATGCTGACCAGGTACCTCAGAGATTCTACATCTTCCAGAGCTGCTCCATCATGTGTAATTGGTTCGGTGTTATGTGTTGCATTTCAGGATCTTGCTTTTTCCCTTGTGTATGTTTAGGCCTACTTCTGCAGAGGTTGCTGCTACACTGTCTTCACTTGCATTTGTTGGTGTTTATGGGATAGAAGAACTAGGTCAGATGCGAGGTCTTAATCGTCTAGCTGCATGAAAGCTGTCCGGTGTATTCCATGCTTCTCCTGAGATATCTTTATAAACTAGTTGACCACCAGGAAAATGCAATATGACGGGATGAAAATGCAAAATGACATCCTTTTACTAAATGTAAATTTGGTTTAATATTCTTTCCATTTTTGATTCAATGTGATGATTATTCGAAGTAATATTTGTTGTGGTATTTTATTCGGTATGACATTAATTTACTTGAGTCTGATGTTTATTCAAGGTACCATATTCTTGTATTAAATTAACGCGAGCTTTGCTCAGTATGATACGCATTATGTGGTTTGTTAAGTCTGGGTATTCCTCATATGTGATTTTACTCTAATTGGTAATTAAAATAGGTATACAATCAACAGATAAGTGTGCATTTTCGATTATGGTCATCGTGTTTGTGTGATTCATTAACTTTTACTTGTACTAGTCTTGGCGTTTTTACTTCGCGTCGTCAGAAGTGCAGTGGTTCCTCATTCTATCAAGCATAAGAATAAACGACGCGGATATAATTTGCAATGCCAATTTTAGAAAAAAGGCCATGGCATTTGCCGACGGAGTCAGTTGACAAGTCTCATTTTACAGTATAACCGTCTGGTTTCATTTATAACCGTTTTTAATTCAACTTACCCCCAAATCCTGTTCTTTAGTCGTAAATATACTTTTTTACACAACGTTGCCGTTTTATTTATTTAAACACAAACATTGGCACCACGTAGATATGCACCACATAAATTGTTCGATTTGTGTGAGGGCTGGGATACTGCCCGGGTGCCCGAACCGAAGTAATACATCGCCGTCACGATAAACGATGCAGTTACTAATGTGTGAATATATCAACTTCAGTTGTAGAAGTAAAATCAATGCTTCAATTTAATGAAGATGTGTTCATCAAATGTTGTTTAATGCTCATCGGTGCATTGAAGGAACACATGCTTAAACAATCACGTCCGGAATCGCACTCCAAAATCATATATTTAACGAGGTAACTAATACATTTCCTGTTGTAATAAGGAATAGTTTTGTAACAGAGGGAGGAGCCAACAGTATTTAAAATGTATGGCAGTATGTTGTCTCACCATTGGGGACTTCAACGCACCGCACATCAACTGGGTAGAGCTTACAGCTCCAGGTGGAGGTTTCGATAGCGAACTTATATCAACCGTTATTCAGTGTGCACTTGTACAACGTATCACAAAACCGACACATATTGATTTGAAACATGACCCGTCACTGCTGGACCTCGCCCTCACCCACCACTGTGAGGATGTCTTTGATATTCAGCACCTTCCCCCAATAGTGAACAGTGATCACGTTGTACTTCACTTTAAGTTTAAGACACATGGTATACGATTTGTATCTGTTCCACCCCGTCCTAATACCTGGCGAGCTAATATTCCGGCAATCAGAGACTGTGCTATCTCGACTGATTAGTCGGTCTATATGGATGGATCAATTGAAGACGAGTGGAATAAGTTTAAGGTTACATTCGAGTCGGTAACGTCGCCGTTTATCCCATGGTCAGCACGTAAGCTATCACATTGCTCTCCATGGATTAATAAGGAAACTCGGAAGCTGTTAAAATGTAGGAAACACTCCTGGGACTTATTATTGTTGACAGGTCACGCATCATTTAAGCGTGAGTACCAAAAATTCCGGAATATTTGTAAGAAAACCATAGCTAAATCCCGTACTACTTACGAACGACAGTTGGTATATGATAGCCATACTTGTCCGAAACGACTGTTTCCGTACGTTAAACGGCGAATGAAACGTAGTGATGGTATTCCCCCGTTACTGTTACACGATAATTCAGATTTACTAGCTGAATCAGATCGAGCGAAAGCTGAGACTTTTTCAAACTATTTTAGCTAAGTCTATTCTACGTTTATTGTTACAAATACTTGTCCCAATCACACCAAGATACCAGCCATTGAATCTGTACAGGTGACTGAGGAAACTGTCCTTCCGTTGATAACTAATCTCAAACCTTGCAAGATACCGGGGCCTGACGGGTTACACCCACGGCTGCTGTCATCTCTTGCGGACATTATTTCAAAACCGCTCGCGACACTCTTCAACATGCCCCTTTCACTCGCTCAACTCCCTAGAGATTGGAAAGACGCTATAGTCAGTCCTATATTTAAGGATGGTCAGAGACAGATCGTATCTAACTACCGGCCTGTCAGTCTAACTAGCATTGTCGTTAAGTTACTTGAAAAGATAATTCGGGTTAGGTTGCTAAGCCACATAGATTCACACAATCTGTTAGCTCCTGAGCAACATGGATTTCGTAACAAGCGTTCATGCTTGACTAACTTATTGCGAGAGATTGGACAACAGCCTTAGATAAAGGTCTGTCTGTCGATGTGATATTCATAGATTTTAGCAAAGCATTCGACAAAAATTCACACTTAAGTCTTATGCAGAAGCTCTCGAGCTTCGGAATAACAGGTGCTATACAGGAATGGATGAGAAACTTTGTATGTGACCGCAGACATAGAGTGAGGGTTAATGGAACGCTATCCGATTGGAAGCCGGTCAAAAGTGGTATACCCCAAGGCACCACCTTAGGCCCTCTGCTCTCTACATAAATGAGTTACCGCTGTTGCTTAAGTCGTCGACATTATTATTTGCGGATGACGTAAAAATCTGAATAATAAAAAGTGAGGCTGATTATCTGGTTCTTCAAGCTGACTTAGACGATTTAGTTAGATGGGCTCGAGGTTCGGGCTTAGAAATCAATTCTAGGAAGAGTGTGCTAATGCACATCGGTCACGGCAATAGTTACCATTATACTATTGATGGTAAACCTCTTCCATGCGTTCAAGAACATAAAGACTTAGGAGTAACGATGAGTCATGATAAGTCACAACGGAAAATGTGTGGCTCAGAGCAAGAAGCGTAACAGAATGAAAACATATAGAGGATAATATAGAGCTTACTAAATTGACTGCGTTACTGCCAAATAACCTTTCATTGTCTTTGAAGCCGATCGCAGTTGAAGTTTTTCTTCTGGAATCACTGAAAAATAGACATAATAACCACTAACTCACGGAGTAACGGCGATCTCCATAGGTTTTCCAGGCTAGAAGTTGTGAATAAATTAAAATTAAGCTATTAAGTACAAACCAAAACCACCGCAACTTTCATAAACTCAGTCCCTAAGTCTATAGACATTGATGATATGGCACCTGGAAAATGACTATTTCGTACAGTGAACAAACCTATAGTGCCCAGAGATAGCGCGTGAAAAGCTACCGCAATAAACACCAAGAAAACCCTAGACATTTTGGAGCTAGCCGGCAGCGGCGTTAGTAAACGTGTACTGACAACACCAAACAACGCGCACCAACTTGTTGAATGATTATTGGTCAATATGTAGTCACCTAGATAGTTCAACTGTTTAAACAATATTCATAGGCTTATATATTTAAAACTCTCAATATGAACCACCTACGTATAAGTATCAGGTGTAATATTACATGTAAATCTTACTAGAAGTATTTAAATGGTTCAAATGGTTGTGGACGGAATAGAAGCTTCCGCTAAACGGGCTTCCTTGTCTAGTTGCAGTGGATCACCAATACCTGCAGGTAGGAACTTAGATATATTAACGATAAAAGAGGAAAAGAAATTAGTTAATCATAGTAAAGTGCTATCCTTAATTCCTAAGAATAGACCAAGTTGCCTCCTAAAGGACTCTTGGCAAGTCGCTTGGACTAGCTCAGCCGGCAGCGAATTCCAGCTTTTGACACCACTTGAGGAGTAGACGTTGTGTCTACAGCTCGTTCTTCTATGTTTTGTCTCCGGTTCATGGGTGTTACCTCTTAGGCTTGTGCTGGAGCCAGACTGAAGTGAGTGTTTAAGGAGATGTCCAGAAGTGTTAAGGATACTATAAACCATTAGGTTGTAGTGACCTACTTTTGTCAACAGAATGCCATTGGTTCAATGAAAACAATTATTATTATAACCAATTGTACCAGTGACTGTTTTACTGTGCTAGTTTATTTAACTATACTAATGACAGCCATTACACTTACTCTCCCGCTGACTTTGAACTTGTACGAATTCGGTTACGCTCAGTAACCACGCTTGTACTCCTTTGGCACGATCTCAGTATTCTTTCGATACCACGAGATCGCCAACAAATACATCTCGACTACAGCCATCATCTGTCTTCTGATATTGGCCTACGTGGATCTTATTGGTTAATTGGCACGTAGTTTTGTAGCGGTGTTCATAGTCAAGCTCAACTCGGCACCACGCTACCATTGGTGAGCCAAATCTAGGAACACGTCTTAACCTCGGTCAAATCTTCCAAAGAAGGCAATCCGGTGATTCTATTGTTTATCTATCCACGTCTGTCGTATATTTTCATATTAATTTTTAAAATATAATATACTCAACATGACGGATAACGATAAGAATAGTATTAATATAATAGACTCCGATGTACGCGTACCGAATCCTCGGCACTTTTTATTCGCGTGACGATAAATTCCATGCCTTATTCGAGAAATTCCCCAGGATAACTAAACCACTCGAGGAGATTTCATCGTTGACCAATCGTGTGGTACACCACATAGTCACCCTCGGACCACCAGTCACGACAAGACCACGCCGACTGGCACCGGACAAATTAGCTTTCGCTAAACGTGAGTTTGACAATTTACTATCTACTGGTAGTATTCATCCTTCCCACAGTCCCTGGGCCTCTCCTCTTCATATGGTGCGCAAAAAGTATGGGGTTAGTTGGAGATCATGCGGCGACTACCGGGCATTAAACGTAGTTACGCGCTTCGATAGCTACCCCATCCCCCACATACACGACATCACGGCATCGCTCAAGGGCACGACTATCTTTTCTAAAATCGATCTGGTACGAGTAATATCACCAGACATCGAAAAAACTGCTATCACGACTCCTTTCGGTCTGTTTGAGTTCCTACGAATGCCATTCGGATTATGGAATGCTGCTCAAACTTTCCAAAGGTTTATCGATAGCATAGTACGAGACTTGGATTTTGTTCACGTCTATATTGATGACCTGCTGATCGCATCATCAAACGTAGATGAACATTATCAACACCTTACGCTATTATTCCAACGTCTTTCGGATAATGGAATAGTAGTCAACCCAGAGAAATGTGAATTGGGTAAATCAGAAATAATATTTCTGGGTCACATCATCAAACAAGAGGGTATTCTGCCTTGCGAGGACAAAGCTCGAGCAGTCAAGGAGTACAACGTGCCGTTCTCACTCAAGGAACTGAAGGCTTTTCTCGGTTTGGTTAACTTCTACCGACGTTTCATCCCTCACGCGGCAGAACGGTTACGACCATGAACCGATTTACTACGCGGTAATCCACGCAAATTAGAATTGAACGATACCGCACGTACTGCATTCTCAGAGATCAAAACGGCTCTCGCTGAAGTTACACTTCTCGCTCATCCTGACCAATCAGCCACACTTAGTATAGTGGTTGATGCATCAGATTTTGCCATAGGAGCCGTTATGCAACAGAATATCTCCGGTAGTTGGCAACCGCTTGAATTTTTCTCACGACGCCTTACTCCCACGGAGACGAGATATAGCGCTTTTGGTCGAGAGCTGCTAGCAGCCTACTGCGCCATCAAACATTTCCTGCACGCAGTAGAAGGACGCCAATTCATCTTATTCACCGACCATAAGCCCTTAACGTATGCACTGCATACCAAGTCTGACCGCTACTCACCACGAGAGTGCAGACATTTGGACTATATCTCCCAGTTCACGACAGACCTTCGTCACATTAAAGGCGAGTCGAACTATGTTGCCGATGCTCTATCACGCATACAAGCGAATGCAGTTACATTATCGGTGCTTGATCTTCCTGCTCTGGCCGCAGCGCAAGCGAACGATCCTGTCTGTACAGAAGCACCACAATCTACATCCCTTCAGTGCCAGCAAGTACTCCTAGCTACTAGCTCAGGTACTATCCCATATGATACTTCTACCGGTCTTCCTCGACCCATCGTACCCTCTGCTTATCGCCGTCTCGTCTTCGATGCCCTACATGGATTGTCTCATCCGGGTATCGCAGCCACATTACGTCTCACCACTGCACGATACGTCTGGCCGTCCATGAATAAAGACGTTCGTATGTGGGTAAAGCAATGCTTACAGTGTCAACGATCAAAATTGCACAGGCACGTAGCTGCCCTCATTGGCACGTTAGCTACGCCTGATGCTCGCTTCGATCACGTTCATATAGACATTGTAGGACCATTGCCACCATCGCATGGGTATGATCACATACTCACGTGCATTGACCGTTTTACAAGATGGCCCGAAGCTATTCCCATCACGTCTATCACGGCGGAGACATTTGCTCAACGCTTCGTAGAACGATGGATAGCACTGTATGGTTGTCCCTCGACCGTCACGACTGACCGAGGACAACAATTCGAGTCCACATTATTCTCCTCCCTGACCCGGCTGCTTGGTACGGAACGCATACGCACTACCGCCTACCATCCAGCATCAAATGGTTTGGTTGAACGGTTTCATCGACAACTTAAAAGTGCTCTTCGAGCACACGAAAACGACAATTGGTACAAAACCTTACCGCTCGTTCTCCTAGGCATTAGAACGAGTTTGAAGGCAGATGTTCAATGTTCCGCCGCTGAACTTGTATATGGCACGACGTTGCGTCTGCCTGGGGAATTCTTCACACCACGGAGCAGTAATGACTTCGGTAAGTCAGACTACGTCCATCGACTGTCTACATTTATGCGAACGCTGTCTCCGGTGTCAACTCGAATACAACATCGACAGGTCGCTCTCCCTCGAGAGTTATCTACCTGTTCACGTGTTTTTATACGGGTAGATTCGGTACGCAAACCTTTGCAACAGCCTTATGAACGCCCTTTTCACGTGATCTCTCGTCACGAAAAGACCTTCAAGGTTGATCGAGTAAAGGTTTAGTGATTAAATGCGCCCTTCATAAGGCTTGGATTTGAGTCCTCAAACTAATTGCATGGCTCGCTGTTAGCTAATAATTAGGATATTTAGAAACTATTGTATTTATATTTAGGTTGCACTACTACTACTCTCACGAAAACAGTGACATCTCCAGAGATACTGATAAAATTTAAAACCCACCCCTACATTCAACTTCTTATTGATGAATCGACTGGTTTAAAAAGTGTTTGGAGTTGTAGAGATAAAGTATAATTTACGTTCTGTGAACAAATAATTCACAAACAAACAAAGTTTTTCATTGTTTTCGACTTTCCATGATTCCATTAAACCAGTGCAAACACTTTGTTAACTGGGAGTTTCGTTTAAATTGACTGTTGATGTTCCTGAGCACTATGTGCACGGTACACTGATTGCCGCTCAAAGAATATATATGTTCTCATACGTTCTGGCTTTGTCGGCTGCAATTTTCTTAATGTTTGCTAACAATTCGGTTGCGCACGTTTTAGCTCTGGTTACGCAGCATGTTCCCTGACAATAAAACACTGACACTTTGTATCCATATTTTTGCATTCCTTTGAAGTATTTTTCCGATATCATTTTAATTAGGTATATATATATATGAACCTATGAATGCATGTTTGTTTTCGTGCTCTATCCACTCACTCTTTATGGCGGCCATCGAGACAGTTAACTGATAGATCTTGAAATAAAGTAAATCCCAAAAAATGTAATGTTATGAGTCTACGACACTATGACAATGACTTCATTAATTTTGCTGAACACACCCTAGCTGAGGTACCTCATCTGGTATCCGAACCAGATCACGATCGTGTTCCTCAATTTACTTATTCTTCATAGAAACTAGTGAGCCTTCGTACTTCCCAATCGACCATCTGAATATATCTTCGAAACCATCCATCCCTAATTCCTGGTTTGTCCGGCTCTAGGACCCTTGACTAAAACGTGTTGCCGGCAACAGAGTTGTCAATCCTCGAATATCCGTGGCATATTTGCTGTGAACTTACATAGAATCTCAAAGAAATGGATGTCCTCCAGTGGACCCAAAACTATGTCGCTCAGATTCACACCATGAGACGTTGACATTGGGGTAGTCAGTCCGCAACCGATCACCCGTAGAACCGATACATTTAGAATTAACTGCTCATTGAGATGCCACCAACTAGATGTTTGTGTAGTATTGTGGCGTTAGCCGAATCATGTTGATGGCGGTGCAGTTAGCCCTTCCACCTACATTTTATGTTCAGGAAACGCTTCCAGATCTTTAAGAGTGCTCATCATAGTCATTTTAACCATCCGCACGAAATATTGGAAAATAGCAATAAAATGTAAGATGGGGATTATAGCGAAAATAACGACGGTCCATATGTAGGAAGACATCTCG